GATACTTAATAAGGCAGATTTTGTGCATATTCGATGTCAGTATAGAGGGAGATATCTTATATTCTTTAAATTTGAAGAACAAGTTGAGAGTACTACTGGATTTTCAAAAGTTTGTTATCGCTAAAAAAAGCACATAAATTAGGAGCAAAAAATCAAAGCTTATTATAAAAATAATATTAAATTGGTTGTGGACATCACTGCAGTGCTGATGATCATCATTCGGCATCAAAGTTCTGACTTCATACACAAATTTTACTTTAACAAAATAAAAAACTAGTCGAATATTACATTGTTTGCGTAGTTCTTTAGTGTTTGTCGATGAGCATTGTTGTTTGCGGGTTAAAAATTTATTGTAGCCTTATTGGCTTACGCATATTAATTATTATGCTTTATATATAAATTATATATAAACTTATATTATATATAAATATATTATATATTATTATTATATATTATTATTATATTATATCAATTATATTATGCTTTATATCACGAGTATATTGGAATAAGGTATTGTGCAAAAATAAAAAGTTGTTTGTTATTTTGAAAGAAGTAAAAATCTAACAACGGGCTGAGATAAATGTGTAAATTAATTTACTGCGAGATTCAGATGAGAAAACTTTTATACAGCTGTTCTAATAGGGACTTTATCGAAACAATACAAAGCATTTCCATCAAAATTGGTTTTAGTATCATTTCCTGAAGGTTTTTCAGTCGTCAAATCAATTCCGTGATCTGAAGCTGTATAAAAACTTTGAAGTGAACTCAGACTTATCTAATGATAATGCAAACTTATAATAAAATATGGGAGTGAGATGTATGCCTACTACGATCAAGGCAGTCTTGAAAGTAATGAAGGACATATCGCTCATTAATTGCCACTAAAAACTATTGTTCTAAGGAACAGCCATCCTACAAACAATCATTATTTAATAATTATTTTTTTTATTTTATTTTTTTTATTTTATTTTATATATATTTATTTTATTTTATTTTATTTTTTTTTGTTATTTTATTTTTTTATATCATATTTTTTATTTTATTATTATTTTTTTTAAATCTGTGCTTAAATTTTTTTTTAACATATTTTTTCAGAAATCATAAATTTTATTTGTCTTAGATACTAATTCGAAACTGAGAATTAAGCCATATATTACTTAAAAACATTTAGCATTTATTTTTTTGTCTAGACGTGCATACTATTAATATATGTTAATGATTATACATTAAATATTATTTGAAAAATAATTTAAAAATTTTATATTTTAATATTTTAATTATATGTTATTGTTATATGTATATTCTTATGATTAATGATTCTGTGATTAGTTCAATCAACACTTTCTAAGACGTAAACGGAAGGCAATAAGATACGATAAGATACGAATTCGTCACAGGTCATATCGGTTTCAAAAAGAAGGTTTAGTTTTTATAATTACGAAACTCAAACATTACAAAATCAATAATACATAAATTAATAATTTGTAAACATTTTGTTTTTATTAAGGCGTTAAATTTCATTCCAGTAATTTTTCACAAATTTAATTGGAATTATAAAATCACACACGACTTTAATTAAAAATACAACTTTTATCAAAATAAACATTTTTTATATAATTTATTACATGAACAGTTACGTATTTATCTATTTGTTTTATTAATCGAACTATGCAAATTATATTTTTCCCTTAGTAAATTATTGTTTTTATATAAGTATGAGATCAGCATGATCAGTATGAGATCAACTAAATTTTTATATTTTTTTTTCTAGTAAATTTTAAGAAAATCAATAGAGGGTTCTTGAAATACTGTAAGTGGAACATATATAAAATATATTAAAGAAAGATGACATGAAGCCTACATATGATAAACCACAGGTCTGACATTATTCGCCTACAGCTAGAACATCACAAAGTAACATCACTTTTGATCGCAGCTCAAACATTGTCTTATGGTAAATTGTAAACTAATTAGAGAGTACTTTCAACGACTATTGACGCAGCTAGAGATCAAAACAGGAGGGGAATATTTTTTTAATTTACTTTGTCACTGCCCAACAGAAGGTGTTACTCTGGTATTACATTTTTTAAGTACCTGTCTTAGATCCATCAATAATATACTGCCAGAGAGGTAAAAAAACTAAACATACATTATCTATATTTAACGTAAGAGCTAATAAGTTCTAAAAAAACTTCGTTAGCTAAGCTTAGCTTAAAAGCTGGGAAAACAGAACTACATATCCCACAACAACAAAAGGTCAAATACAGTTTTTCTTTTAATTTGTATTAAAAAATTAATTTAATAAAGAAATATTTAATTTAATTTTTAATTATTTTTATGTTGTTAGTTGTTATAATCTTATAATTCTCACTTAAAAGCAAAAGCAAAATAAATTTTAAAATATTTATTATTCTTTATATTATTATTTATTATTAATTTAACAATACAAAAAAGGGTTTTAAAAACGAACATATTTATTAAAATATAAATATGTTTATTAAATAAATAGAAAAATTAAATTGTAAAAAGATACGAACTCAATACAATTTTTAAAACATAAAAGTTATTAAATAAAATAATAGTATGTTATATATAAAATCTATATAGTATATAACACTTCATTGTTAATTTTGATTCATTCTCTTGTATATAATAAAATATAAAACTGATAAATTTAGTGAGAAATAGTTAAATAATCTTTGAAATATTAAGAATATATAATATATGTAGACTTTTTTTATTTAACATATTAATAAAAATTCTTTTAAGTATATTAAGTACTTAAGTACTTAATTTCTTTTAAATGAATAAAAAACATTTTTATAAAGTAAAAAAAGTATTAATAATTATTACACAAAATAATGATATGTTGTATAAAAAATTTCCATTTAAAAACTCATTAATATATTTTTTATATAAAAAATTTAATATTGTTATATATATTTTGCGTTTTAAATAAATTTTGAGAAATATCAAAATATATATAAAAAAATTTTATATATATAAAAAATATATATAAAAGATTTTTAATTAATATTTTAAAGAAATTTTGTTATTAAATTTTGTTGTTAAATTTACTTTTATTAAATTAAAACATACAAATTTATAAATGTATGCAAAACAATTTCAAATTATTAAAATTTGTTATATATGCAATAAAACAACAGAGTATAATATTCTTATAGATAACTATAAAACAAATTTTAGATAATGTTTGTTATATTACTAATGGGCTAGTATATATTGTTATTCTTTGCTACGAGTATTATTTAATTATTTCATTATTTATTTATTAAATTTATTTAAAGTAATGCAAATAAGTAAATAATTTTATTATTTATTACTGTTATTTGTTTAGTGTCAATTTTATTTCATATTTTTATTTGCTTAATGCAAAGTTTATTTGTTATTTTTATTTATTTATAAGCATAAAATTTATGAACATAATCAAAAATATATTTAAAACTAAAAAATATAGTTAAGATTTTTAATATTTTTTATTGATTTTTCATATAATCAAAGTTTTGAAATTATTTTTACAGTAAAACAAATCCAATAAAAATTACTAAAAAATTATTATTAAATTAATATGTGTTAAAAAATTTATGTTTTAGTTTTTTATATATTTTTAATTATTTAGATAAACCTTTCATATAAATAAAGTATCAAAAAATATTAAAGTGTTAAAAAATACATAAATATATAATTTTTAATTATTTTTTTTTGTTTTTTCATTACTTTGAAAATATATTTCATGTATATTTATGTATATTGTACAGTATTTATTTATTTATACAATTACAATTGCAATTGCAATTACAATTACAATTACTTTTCATTTATTTATACATTATATATTTGTAATAAATATTCTACCTCAACTATGTAATAAAATATTTATTTTTAATTGTTAATTAATTATTTAATTTTATATAATTTAATAAATTATGTGCTTTGTTTTGTGGTTAATTATAATTATGATTAATTATTTATTTTGTTTATATAATTATATATTTTGTTTGAATTGTTTATTATTTATTGCATATCAGTAAATATCTGTTAGTATTTTATTTATATATAGGTAAGATGCTTCTTAGCTAAGTTACACAAATGCAGTAGAGGTTAAGAGTATAACATGGAAGGCCAGAGTTATTGTCGATATATATTTTAAATTTACCAGATTGTCAAAGAAACGTTTACCCGAAAAGAACTTTTGAACAATATGTCAAGAAAATTTTTTCCAAATATTGTAAATCATATAGCAATGCTACTAAGATTTGATTTAAAATTGCGCTTCAAGAGATCTTTAGTAAATGTTTAGTGAGTCAGAAATATAGCTTCAAGCATTTATTAAATTCGCAAAAACATAAAAAATTTTCTAAAAGATATATTTGGCCAACAGGTCTATGCGCGGCCCAGTCAGTTTAACTTATCCTAACCTTAAAGCATTTAGTATTCTTAAATATGAGGGCTAACACTTTTTAGTCCTTTAAATAGTACACGACATATTTGTGGTTCAATATGAGTTTTTTTTATAAATTATTTGAACAATGTTTCACAAAATTTCAGATATCTCAAAATTTTTGTAAAATTTTCTTCTTTGGTTTTTTTTAAATAAATATATTATTATCTTATAAACATTTTATTAGAACAAGATATCTTCTTATCTTTGGATTCTGCATTAAATTACCTGCTATAATTTTTTGATAAGAATAGCTTCATTTCAAGTACACATAAGTATTATTAAATAATTAGCAGTTTTAAAAAATTATTTTTTAGCAAGTTTTTGGCAAAAATAAAAACAATTAATTGTTTACTTGAAGTGATAAGTCAGAGCTTGTTTTAGTTAAAATTTTTTTTTGATATTGAAAATGAGTAGAGGTCTTTCTTATAAATTTTCAATATTTTTCAGAGAAAGTATTTAAAACGTAATTAAATTTATATTTTAATTGCTATAATCTTACATATCAAATGCATAATATATAATATTATTTGTTTACCTGTATTTATTAATAAACAGAATATTCCCAGCAAACACAGCCAATCCAATCGACGTTTTCCAAACATTTTGTCGAATTTAAATTTTCTCAATAATTTTTTCAAATTTTTAATTTGTACAATTTTAAACTGGAGTCAAATGCCTCACAGTCAAATGTTGAAATTCGTTATATTACAATACAATTATTTACTTTATTTCTTGTATATATCTTATATATGAAATACACACAAATTCAACACTAAAATCAAATGATATAAAGTTTCACACTTTAAACAATTTTGAACTCAAATCTGAAATTAATTCAAAAAAGAAAAATTATTTGTTTAATTAAATTCATTATTATATTTTCCTCAAACAGAAAATATTAAATAATTTATTTAATGTTAAATTTTTTTTGGCAAATTTTTTTTATGTTTTCCTTCTGAGAGGATTTGCTCGGCTATTACGACACTTTTTCAACTCAGACTCATTGTTATTTGTATATCATATCTTTTTGTAATATATATATTTCACTTTTGCTCTTTAAGTATTTTTTATTTTATTCAATGAAATCGAAATTAAACAAAAAAAAATGATAATGATAAAAAAAAACAGATTTCAATACAATTTCGATTTCAATTCAGTTGTAAGCCAGGCTGAGGCAATCAAACTCGTAAAAATGCAAAAACAAAAACCACGAAAATTGTATCAACAATGTTGCAAGCATCTCGAAAGATGAAAACGTTGCAATGTGCGGCGCAACAAGTGTAACGCACTGCAACTTGAAATCGTGGAAAAACAATTCAAGAAAATCAGACTAAAGATTTTCCACGCGATTTTCGTTGCATATGAAAAACTATAGAAAAAAACTATAGAAAAATAGAAAAATGCAAAAATGCAAAAATACAAAAATACAGATACAAATATATCAAAATCAATTTTGTTGATAAAGAAAGAAAATAGATAAAATTGATATATAAAACTTTAAATACAAAACAAATCAAACCAAAATAAAAATAAAAATAAGTTTATTATTAAATAAATAGTAGAAAAACTTTCATTTTAACGTATTTCATTTATTTTTATTTTTATTTTTATTTGTTAATTTTTTCTTATATGTTTTTCATATAGCTTTTATTTCTTGCAAATTGTTGCATTGCAAAAGAGGCTTTCAACCGCAAATGAGGCACATATTTGTTTTTTATAATGAATTGACAAAACAAGTTAAAATTACACTAAATATGTAATTTAAATATAAAAATTAATTTAAATAAATTTTAATTTAATTTCATGTTGATTGCTGTTTTGTGAAGTGTTTTTTATTTGGCTTAAATTTTTGACTCATAGAACAAGATTCTAAGTATCATTTTATTCTTATTGAAAATATCCTTTTGAATAACTTCATTAAATATTATTAATAATAACTTTAAATTTTAATATAATTTTAATATTTCAAAATGATGTAGTTTTATAAAATTCAATATATTTATTTTATTTTTCTCTGCACGTAAGTGTTTCAAATATTTTTAAGTTTATCTTATACGGAATTAAATAAAATTTAAAAAATATTTTTTAAAATTACAAATTTTAATTTTTAAATATTTTCGTACGAACGACCAAACCACGAAGTGCTATCAATCGAAGCACTTATTAAAGACTGATTTGTCTAAGCTATGCTAAGGTAAGCTAAGCACAGCCATTGACTAACGAACTTAACAGTAAGACTCGGTTTTGATTTTAACAGTGAATCGTGCTATAGCGAAGTCTGCAATAAAACAGAATCGCTGCAGCGCAGCAATAATATAACAGCTAGCAGCTTAACATAAGCAGCACTAATAAGGTACCACATATATTTTTCTCATTGTTGACGGCGCTGCTACCTATGCGTACAAGGTGAACTGTGGTAAAGCTTCGATTTGCGGTTAACATAAATAAGAGAAAACAATTTTGAAGAGAAAATTTTATTTGATTGCATTTAATAAAATATTAAATAATTATTATTTAATAATTTTTATTAGTTAATCTCTTCAAATTTATACAGTAATTTATTATAATGGTTATTAATGTTTTATTATTTATTATATACACAATAACTACTTTTTTTTCGTGTTATAAATTGAATTTTTTTTTGTGTTATCTATAGGGTAATTTATTTTGTGATTCCAGAAATAAATGTAAATTAAATGCACTTGTAATTTCAATTTTGTTTAAATGTTTATTTTAGTATATTGTTTAGACTTTGCCATTAGATGAGATTTGATTTGATGTGGAATAAAGCCTCACACAAATGTTCTTCATGGGCTATTTTACTAAATCAGCTTGGGGTAAATTTTGTTAACTTGTCGGTTTATAATTATCACTAAGTATGGTAGTTCACAACTTTATAGATGTCTGTTATCAAAACTTTGAGAATTCGTGTATTGCCCACATAAACACGACCATTTGCATAACACGTCCATGATAACACGTCTATTGGTGACAACCTTAGCAGCCAATTTCCATCATTAAAACGTGTGTTGAATTATTGGGAAAATTTCTCATGTGGTTTGTGACTTATGATGGTGCCGTCCTTTTGCATCCACATTTACCTTTTCTACTTCTATGTTTTTAAACTGTCCCCGAACACAATTGGTAAGCATAATACTGATATTATCGGGATTGAAGGTTTGTCTTATACCTTCTTTATTTTCAAAAGTAATTGTGATCATTACACATACAGAACAAAAGCTAATTTTAATAGATGTGATGTTATTTTTTTGCTTATTTCAAGGTTTTCACTGCCAAAAATATCAGAATTTTATTTAATGATACATTAACCAACTGAAAAACAAAAGTTCTAAGCAAAAAAATTATCACCATTTCTGTAATTACAACAGTTCTCACAATTTTAATACGTTCAGTGATTGTTAAACGATGCATACTACAAAACTCTTAAACTTACACTTAACACATGTATGGACCTTTGAATATATTATTTTAATATATTAACCACTATACAGAGACATATTCAAGATTGTGGTATGGGGAATATACCAGAAAGTACTTTTTGCCAAAACTATTTCATAATCAAATCACTAAATTAATGCTAATAACAGTTAGTAAAAATTTAGAGATTTGTTTATGAATATTTATGTACATACATTGTATAATAGTAACAGTTTTTTATTAAATAAAAAATTAAAAATAAAAAAAATTATTATTTTTAAGATTATTCTTTGTCTTAACTATAAATACTTTTTAAACTATTTACATTAATTAAATTAAATAGAAAAATATAAATTTTGCTTCTTAAAGAAATTGCTAAAATATTGTATATATAAAAGGTACATTATACGTAATTCCGTGTAGCTACTATACTTTCGATTTCATACTTAAGAGAAGCATTAAAATTAAAGAGTTAATTTAACATGAATTTTACAGCAATTTTTCACGCTATTTTATACTGTAATTACGAGTAAATATTAATTGCGATGTAAATGTTAAAACAGAAACAATTTTTATTAAGACCAATATAAAATGATAAATAAATTATTATAAATGAACAAAACGGTAACATGTGTAATAAACACTGCTATGTTAACTACATTGAGACTTAAAATATTCTGCAAATTGTTTTTATCTTCAATACTTCAATGCTTTCATTAAGAAATTAACTTAATTTTTTTTTTTTGTTCGTTTATACACAAATTACATACAAGACAAACCAGTAACAGTAATGGCAACAGCAACACCAACAGCAACAGCAACGAGTGCTAAATATGTTTAAACGTAACTACTCGTACAACGCTCAGAACAAAGAAACAAACAAATCAACATAAACAGAAGCAGTTGATACAATTCAGAACAAGCAGTTGGTTTTAACACAGTAATAATAGAAGCAGCAACAGCAACAGCAACAGCAACAGCAAAAGCAATAGAATTAACAGCAATAATAAAACATAGCTGACCAAATATATGTACGTATATTGTGTAAAGCAATTGAAAGTAAAATCAATATAAAAAGCTTAGGAGAATTCGACACTTGACGACAAACACTTAAATTGTACAAGTTGTTCGCTGTTCATTGTTGTTGTTTTTGTTTTTGTTATAATTTTTGTCTGCATTTGTTGTTTGTGTTAGCTGTTAGCTGTTAATGTTAATGTTACTGACTGACTAGTTGACTGGCTGCATGCAAAGCTGCAGCGTTGTTATAATTCTGCCGCTTGGCCTAACAAACGAATGTTAAGACATTGGTAAGGTAGGTTTTCTGGGTGGTTTTTCTATTTAGTTGTACATTGTGTGTTATTTGTTGTTATTGTTAATGTTATAGTTTATGCTTGTTACAATTATTACTGCAGTATTTGGTGTTGTTGGTTTTTTGTTGTATTGTTTTTGTTGTATTGTTTTTGTTTTTGTTTTTGTTTTTGTATTAGTCTTCGGTGTTTTGCTATTGGGAAATATTGTTACAGTTCTCTCTCTCGGGGCATTTTTCATATAATTTACTTGAAGTTCGTTATTATGGTTATTTAGTTTTAAGTTTGTGGTTTAGTACAGATTTTTTGCATTATTTATTATTTACTTTTAAAACTTATATATATATTTTTTTGGCTATAATATTAAATTAAGTTATTTTTTATAAAAATTCTTCGTTTACATATTTGAGTTGTTAAATTAATTTTTTTTTTTTCGTATTCATTTATTTAGAGTAAAAGGCGTTTTGTCTGCATAAGCCGGACTCCTTTTAATAATTTTTTTAACTAATACTAATAGCTTTTTTTTAAATTTAGGATTTTGTAAGCATTCATTTTGTTTTTTAAATTGACATAAAAAACAAGAAACTCAAACAACAAACTTGGCACAAATACACAAATTAGTTAACTTTCAATTATTATATACAGAATAATAACAAGAAAAAAAAAATATTTTTCCAAATCGAAACTTAGTTTATTGTAAATTATAATAAAAGCTGCAGGAAATATTAGAAATATATGCTAATAGTTGCAAGCCAAATTAAATTAACATTATTTTAAAAATGTTACATTTTTTTTTTTAATAATTTTTATTTTTTTAAAAACAATTTTATTATTTTTTTTTTTTAATATGGGCTTATTGGTCAACAGCTAAAAAATGATCTTTTAAAAAATATTTATTTGTTTTTTAAGATTTTATTTTTACCAATATTTCGACTATAATCTATAGTCATCATCAGGATACTATATAATTTAAATACATCTAACAATAGTTTGGTACATATTATATAGAAACAAATACATTAAAATCGAAAACATGAATAATTTATATATGTATATAGAAAATATTTATACAATACTATCACAATAGATATAAAAATAATATATATATAGGAAAAATATATTCATGAATATATTCATATATAATTATATGTATTTAAATTATATAGTACCCTGATGATGACTATAGATTATAGTCAAAATATTGGTAAAAATAAAATCTTTAAAAACAAATAAATATTTTTTAAAAGATCATTATTTAGCTGTTGACCAACAAGCCCGCATTAAAAAAAAAATAACAAAATTGTTTTTAAAAAAAAAATTTTTTTTTTGGTTATTAAAATATAAAATATTTATTATATTTCTTTTAATAAAAATCCATTTCTTACATTGCATTAAACTGATGTAACTATTGTCTCATGCCTTATAAATATTAACTCAGCTATCAATTTCAACTGAATGAGAATTATAAAAATGTATTTGAAATATACTTTATAACATGAACAGATTAAAGGTTTTTATATTATTTGTCAAAGTTTATGAAATAAGTATGCAATTTTAATCTGGATTTTGTATGTTTGGCGGATGCATTGACCATTGTAATGTATTTCCTATATGCTATAATTTCTAAAAATTGTTATATATTAAATAATTTTTACGTTTTAAAAAAATTCATACATTTCATATTATATTAAACTTATACCTATACATGCTATACCTTATAAATATTTACGGAGCTATCTATTTCAATTGAATGAGAATTACAAATATGTATTTGAATTATATTTAATTCCACGAACTGATTAAAATTTTTTATATTATTTGTCATAAATTATGAATTAAATATACAATTATAATGTGGATTATGTGAATAATGTGTGTTTGATGGATGTATTGACCATTTTCATGTTTTTTTTAATATGCTACGAGTATTGAAGAACTACATAAGTAACATATACTTATTAAAATAGTGATATCACATAGTTAAAATTGTATTTAAAGTATTCAATTTGAAGACCACTAAGAATAATTAAAATTTATACAATTAGTAAATAGATTTCGAGTCTTGTAAGTCTTATGGCATGTTTGATATAATATATAGAGTGAACTAATTACTATACTTGCCAAAATTTAAACTAAATTTAAAATTTTTAATGTTATGTTATTTTCATGTGGCATTTTCCTTATTACAATAAAGTATGTTGCCATACCAGTTAAACACTGATACTTTTTAAACAAAAGATACCACCAGGAAAAAGTTGATGCAAACATCTATTCACTCTAATGATAACTAATATATAATTTATAATGCTTACATTTATTATCAAACTAAAGTTCTTACAAAAAAAATGCAAATTACGAAAAAGCGCTTTTTGTGTAAAGAAGGAAGTGTATTTAGACAAAGGGAAGATTTTCCAGATTTGCTGGTTTGCATTTATTAAGAATATGTGCTGTCAGTCCTGCAAAAGTGAAATTGTAAGATACTTTTCAAAAAATCGACAGGGGTAGTATGAACATGGATATAGCAGGCAGTGCGAAAACAGGCAATGCAGCTAACCGCATGAAAAACTTCAGGAGCATAATTGGAATATTCGAAAAATCTAATTACGCAATTTAATAAAAAATAAGATGGATCATCGATATGCAGATATAAATATACAAATTGACTCATAGTAAGTAGTCTAGAATAAATCACTGTCTTCTATCTTAATCTAAACTTCTAAAGATTATTAGTTACTATTTTATTGGATATTCCGAAACTTTATGTATAACTTATATTTATTTAATAATTTAATATTTATTTTATAAATAAAATATCAAAGAAGCTTGATATCTTAGTGTATAAAGTATAAAGTATAAGTATAGTATAAAGTTATAAAATTAGGAACCTGTTAATGAGGGTTTTAAGATAAGTTTATTACTTATCTTTTATAAGATAAGTAAGACATAATAAGATATAACATAATAAAATATACTTTTAATGTTAAAATTTTTTATATAAATAATGTTAATATGACGGATATCTGCCACATCAAATGTATGGGAAATATATTAATATTGAATATTGGGATAGTTTCAATTGAGGAACTGTTAAAAAAAACAAAGAATTCATATTAGAATTAGTCTAAGAAGGTATGTATTTGAGTTCTGGGCTCTAGTCAGAAAACTAAATGGATCCAAGTCATACAAACCTAATAAAGCAGATATTAATATACTGGCTAGCCATTTGAAAGGCTTACTATATGAAAAAGTGTCGGTCTACTCAACAGAACAGGAACTGGATCTTGAAATAAACACAATCGAAGCAATGACTGCTATAAAGCGAATAAAAAACAGAAAAGCACCAGCTGTAAATAGAGTACCGTCGGAATTTCTGTAAAATGCGTCAACCAAATTCATAAATTATTTTACAGCTACCTACAATAGTGTTTTTGTATCAGAGAACACACCTGATAGTTTCAAAAAAATATTTTATTTTTCATTATTAAAAAAGTTGATAAACATGACTCGTCTAATTACAGAGGTACATATTTTCTTAATGTAATCATTAAAATATTCACCTCTATTCTTCTTACCCGACTAACGAACTGGTTGGAAACATATCACTTACTAAGCGAATATCAGGCAGGTTTTAGGAAATCATACACTACCGTACACATTAATTTCAAAGGAGTTCTTCCAAAGCAAACGCAAATTATATATGTTTTTAGTGGATTTCAAGGCGACTTTTGACACCATCGTTAGACGTAGTCTGTTTCTGCAATGAAGCATCTCAACGAAAATGTTAAATGTGATTTAAAGCTTATATATCAAAAATGAAACAGCGGTTTGGAATGGTAAATATCTAACAGACTGTTTTGAGTCAAATTGTTGTACCAAACAAGGTTCCTTCTAAATAGTGTTCTTCTAGGTTATGTGTGTTTCACCTCATTTACACATCTTCTAGTCCTTCCCAGTTTGTATAAGTGAAATCACTGCTAAACAAGCAGACAAAAGTTAGTGTTGAATTGTAGTTTGGAACATGTATACTGGCCACTAACCATAAGAAAGTTTGATTTCAACTGTTAAAAAGGCTCTACACCTTTTTTTCACTTCGAAAAATAGCATAATGTAGATACAGAAGCTATTGTATCCATGATACAAAAACAAATAATCGGTGTTTATAGAAAACTAACTTACTTACGTATATATATCAGATACCAGTTGTTATTGATAACCTCTAATCATAGATTGCTACTGTAATTAATAACATTACTTGATTTTGGGATATACTTCTCTAAATTTTCTAAGGACGGAAATAATTTTATCCCTCTTTAAAGTTTAAACTGGTGTCATAACAAAGTAAATTAATGTTATACGCTATTCACACAGCATAAGTTAATGTTCATTAACCCCTAATTTGGCTTAAGTTATTGATGTTGTACATGTGTTTGCTGTTTCCAAATCATGTTTTGAGAAAGTAAGGTAAAAAAAACTTTCATTTTCTTGCACAAATTTTTGTTTACATATTTTCTCATGAAATTATAAATTTTCATATTAGGATGTTTCAATCAAATCAGAAAAAATATTGAATTATTGCTGATTTAATCTAGCTTCTGATAGCTGGATTAAGTGTTGTCATGTGAATAGCGTACTTTTTAATCGTCTCAAAAATTGTTTTCTTTCTTTTTTTTATAAGAATATGACATTTAACGTATAATCTAGCTGTTTTCCACTGAATACGATACATATTTTAGCTCAGCATTTTTACTACTAGTATTATTCTATATATATGTATAGAACACTTTAATTGAACTGACAAAAGAAAAAAATGTATATTATTTTTAACTTACATAAGTAGTTCACTTTATATTATATGTCATTTCAAAACAAAAAATCAAAAAATGTAGACAGTTAAAACCAAATATCATATATATAACATATTTTTGATATATAACAGATGTAACAATAATAAGCCGAAATTTAATCCTTCAAATGAAGGAGTACGCAAATTAATATAGAAAATTTTTGAAATAATTGGAAGTCTAAAACGAGATATTCTTTACCATTTTCAATAGTGAGAGGTGCCAATACTATTAAGGTAAATATGTACACTCTGTATGCAAATTTTATAAATTTTGAATATTTTCGAAATCTGCACGACATCTTAATACTAACTGCTAGCAAACAAGATTTATTGTAAGTTGATTTCTTCAACTAAATTTTATACGGTAAGCGCTTAAGCTCGCTGTCCGTCTGTCGGTCCATAGTACTGGTTCTCTGCTTAGCAGCGTGTAGGCACGACTACTAAAAATTTATTTAAAAAACTATTATTTTATTAATTTATCAATTAAATTGATTAATTCAAATATTAATTAAAATATTGTTGGACTACATTCTAATCAGAGTAGAAGACTTTAGTGTAAAATCTATATGTAATATTCTTACAATATATGTTAAGGTCAAAACTATGTTTGTAATGACATGAGAACTAATTCGGTACCAAAAGACATACACTGGTTAGATTTGGTTGTTATGGTGATTCTAGATATGGTTTTAGTCGCTAGAACCCATTGTGTTGACGTACAAAGCTAAAAACGTTCAGAACTATTTAAAACTCTCAATAAAACTGTAGATGCTTCCTAAGCGTCAATCTTCAGCTGACTAAAACTGCCTCCCTTTATTGCACATGCACTTTGTATAAATACAGTGTGATATAAAAGGTGTAAAAACTATTCGAACATAAATTCAATCCCCTCATAATTAGTCTAAAATCATTAGATAATTACTTTTTTTTTTAAGTGAAGTTAGGAAATTTACATAGAGACGACTTCTAATTATTAAATCTAACCAACTATTTTTAAATTACTTAATTTAGAAAGATCTTAATAACTTTTTATGTTATGCTACAGGTTTGGCAGAATCTTTCAAATGTTCTGAATGTATTTCTGCAGCATCCTAGCTGTCTAACTAGCAACTGTCCTAGCGATATGCCTTTAAATGGGTTTCTTGAAAAACAATTGTTGAACGGCGTCGCTAACATATATCGTTCAGAGATGCTTAGTAATCAAAACTCGTTATAAATGCGACTTAAACTAAACTCAATGACTTGAGAGCAGTGTAACTGTTCAATAGCGTAACTATGTTCAAGATGTTAACTGCTTTAAGCAACAACTCACGCCTGATAGACGCTTCAGCGATCGGAAAACCTATAATAATTTACTGTTTCCAGAGAAAATTCCAACACCTTCTCCATTATCTCTCTTACAACCGCGTATCTATTGAAAGAAACCTCCCAATAGAGCTAAACATTGATGAAAAGTTCTATATATTGTTATATATATTTACGATATTTAATTACAGTGTTGATACTGCTTTATAACTATATAATATATCAAATTATATGTTAAAGGTTGTTTCAGAATCGTTCTCTACTTTTGTGATAATTATAGTTCAAAGGCTTATTAGTATTTTCAAAGAGTTTCTAAAATATGTTTCCTACAAATCTACTATACACAAATGTATATGTCAAAAATTCTTGTAAGACAAGGGCATACTATATATTTATTTTAATCTTGGTTTACCGTAGATAAATATATATGGTATATATATATGACTGTAGTATAAATAATAATGATTTCAATGTATATGACATGTTTGTGATCTTATGGATCTCAACCTTTATCCGAAAGCAGTTAGTTCATATGTCCAAAATCGAGAAGTATTGGATATGCTAACTAGAAACTTTGTAACCATGGTTAAGGTGTTTTTGTTTTACACGTTCTATTCTAACAAGAACCAATGCAATATTTAAGTCTTAGGCGTTTTTAAGTCTCATGTACTAAAATACTTATATATAACCAGATCGAATTGATCACAATGTTGTAATAAACGACTGTCAAGAATTGTTTTTTTTTTAATAAACTATTATAAAAGCTTTCAGTTTGTAAACTACAGAACTACTGGATGAAATTGATATTAGACCCCGTCAAATATATATGCTCGATATAAACGTTATGATTTTATAGATACTTAATTTTTTTATCTTTACATTAATTTTAGATAACTTTATGGATCATGAACTGCTCTTTATGTAGTAAATTACAAACCTCGTCCTTATTGTAAAACAACACTTTAAACGATTGTTTAAGCTGACAACTTCTTAAGGACCTTTCAAATAAGATTACTTTTGACCACTTGCTCTATTAGAGCAGATTTTATAATAAAATTTAATATCGATGAGAATAAGTACATAAGTACATCTGTAATCTGAAATCAAAATTTAAATTTAAATTACCCTTCAGTGATGCACTTATTACTTAGCGTTATAAAAAGGAGGGTCTAACATGCTTTCCCCGGAGAAAGACTCCTAAACTATATTACACAATTTAAGTCTATTAACTGTTTAAGGTAATAATAACATTTACAAGGTAAAGTATTGTGATAAGAGGGTGTTTAACTCTACCGCAAGTATTGCGGTCTTTTAATTTTATTTTTGAGAGATTTGGGAGTTTTTTTTTTAAGCTTCATCTTAAGATTCTACTTACATGAACTACCTGGTTAGGTTGCCGTGAGTCTTTGGATTAGTGCATGGAAATAGTTCATACTCGATCTTCAACAAAAAAAATTCAAATACTATGAAGCTTGAAAGATGTTTTGCAAGCGTCAAAACCCTAATAACCTGATATCCAAACGAGTGTCATTTTGGTCATACTAGCCAGCTGAACTTATAACAAACTCTTTAAATGTTTTATGTTGGCATATTGGAGAGAGTTTATAATAGCGTAACTAGTCGGATATGTGATTATGTTGGCATTTTTTTTTCGACTTTTTAGATATTTATTGGAAAAGTTTCGGTTACATACATTTCTGGCTAAAAAAAATTTGTGAACATTAAAACGAGTAGATTGAACCCAAATTCAATAACATTTTCAGATTTTGAGACATCGGTGAAACAAACACAGGTAGTTAAGTATTATACAAAGTCCACACTTTTCCATTCATCCATTTGCATTTGGAAAGTACCTTATTGAAGTCAAATTATTGAAGAGAATATGAGAATAATGATAAGCAGAGATATCGTTGATGAATTTCAGGTTGTAAAGATGTCCTGTTCATCTTCAAAATAAGAGAGCATGTTAAAGAATTTTGAAGTGTTTTGGAGCATTACCTTAAGCATTTGAAGCAAAATCGTATCTCTTAAGATAAATTATTTTTAATAACCCTTTAAAACCTCTGTCTCTGGTAATATCGGTTTAATGCTCATAAATTATGCTTTAACCCGATATTAACAGAGGCCCCGAGTTTTATAGAACCTAATTAACCTGAGTTTGTGAAAAAAAAAATTAAAAAAAAGGAGGGGTTATTGTGTTAGAATTTAAAATATATATAATACAACATATAAGGCTTATATTGGTTTCTACTCTTGCAAAAGGGTGTTTGACAAAAGATATTGATTCGTACAGATATTACACATTGAATATACACAACCATTGCACGTCCAATTCTTACATATGGCGCTGTCGTTTGCTGGCTATTTTAAAAAAATATGATATAAATATATACATTTAAAATATAATATCTATATAAAATTGTATCCATTAAAAAGAGTATGTAACTTTTAACTGTCAATTTTCTTTATAAATATTAGATATTTTTAATTATAAACATATATTGCGTTGCTTTTAATTATATTTTTAATAATTTTTGTTTTCTTTTCCAAAATTCATAAAGATTTCATTATGAGTTTTAAAATATTACGAAGCACGTTTATGAGGGCCCTGACCACACAAGGTAATACTTGGAAATATATTCATATTGAGTCATATATATAATAAAAATTTATCTGAAGATCAGAAACAAAACGATCGTGCTTTTTCTTGGTTCCAAATATGTTCTCCATGTCCAATTACTGGAAATTTGGGTCAAAATGAGGCCAATTATAAACGTTATTATAGTTACAAGACTATGCATGCAACTGATGGCGAAAAAATGGTCAAAATACCTAAAATCCAATTCCTCACAAAGGCTTATATATCTCAAGGCAGTGTTATGAGTAGTTCTGAGCATGAAAAAAATTCAAATAGTGCGGAAGAAGGTGATGACGCTGAAACACCTAAAAATCTGCTCGGTAAAGAAGGAAGCATATTCAAGGAAGGGAGTACTTCTCAACTTGATAAAAGCTCTTCATTATCAGGACCGAGAGGTCCTCTTAAAGGTGTACTCGTAAAAAAAGTTACGAAATTAACAACAACTGCAATTGCTGTTGAGAATAATTCCGCTGAGGATATTGTTACAAAAGATGCTATGGATAAACGTATTGGTACTAAAGACAACAAAGTTAAACGATCGTCTGGCTATGGATCAGTCTACGGTTGCTCAGCCCAGCTTTCGAATGCAACGAAACTTGGAAACAAAAATTTTGGTCTACTTTCTTCACGTCTCGATGATGAAAATATTTTTATAGAAACGCTAGGCAAATCAAGACTTTCAATACATGCGGAAATTGAAAAATTCAAACCCAGCTTTACATCCTATCATTATAAATAACCAAATATCATTTGGCAGCTGATGTGCATCTTTTAATAAAAAAAAGAATAACAAAATTAAGTTCATCTTTGGTTAAAAGAAAAAATAAAATCCATATTTGTTATTAACTTTTATTGAAAGATGCATTTTTTTAATATAACTCACATTAAAATTCGCAGTAAAAAAATGTTAAATATTAAAAATAAAATAAATATATTTTTCGTATAACTTAGTGTTTAGAATACATTTGATTCTATTTGGAAATTGAAAAATAACAGCATATGCAATCTTAAGTTAAAAATATTACTAAGTAATATAAGTCTTTCGACTTTTTCTTCTGAAAAGTACCGCCGATGCTCATAACTCTCATTAAAATAGCTTTCCTAAATAGAAATCATTTCTACTCACAAGCAAGGAAGTAGTTAAGTAGAGAAGTATATAATCAGAAAAACTCATGAAATATCACATATCATATCATAATATTAGACTATCAATAGTCTAAGTATTGAAGGAGCCCATTTATATTATCATTGAAAAAAACTGCTATTCTAAGTTCATAGCAGCTTAATAACATTACTTTAATGCATAGTTAATTTTAGATCCTTCCCGTTTGGGCAGCAAAGTTGATTGTACTATTAACGCTTTTTGGAGGAGACAAGATTTCAGAGCAGAACTCTAACTGACGCAGGAAAAACATCAACTGACATAAAAGCAGCTTGATTATTATTATTATTGCAATATTAAGTTGTTGGACTCACATTACAACCCACAGATCTATTGGTGCTTTGTCAATTCTATAAATTTTAGTATCGAACCTAAATCACAAAGTTTTATTTTTCATTCTGTATGAGATGCCTATCTAGGTACTTATTTCGTTTAGACATAAGTACAGGGCAAGCGCCTATGTCTGACTCTCATTGCTAAAAAATCCATAAATTCGATTAAAATGAATCCTGAATTTTAGAAGGATATAGTTTAATCTACTGCGCTTTATCAGAATTCCTGTAATGATTTTAAAGTTACTTTCACTGATTTTCATACAATGCTTAAATCGGTTTAGATTTAAAGTTTTTGCTAGTAATTTCGATTGAGATAGCCCTAGTAAGTAATTCCAGTACAATTTTCTTTTTTCCTTTACTTCTGTTCAAATATGTATGAAGCAGATTTAAAATAATTAGTCAACAGCTCCAGAAAAGAGGAAATAGCGTTATAAACACTTTAAAAAGGTTTTTCGGGCGAATGATTTCAAATTTATAGGTTGTTGTTAACCTACTTATATTAATTACCGAAGTTAATTACTCACTAAATAAATTAGTTTGGAATAATAACAGAATTGAATATACATCATTTTAATTAGTTTGTCAGTATGAATAGAGTTGATTACTTGAATTCCTACTAATAAAAACATCATCTAATTTTAAAGTGTTTGGAATAACCAATAAAAACTACTGCACTTACAAAGAGAAGTTGACGAAGTTTCAGATAAAAATTAAACCAAATAACCACATTCCCGTTAGGTTTAAATGAAAATTCTACAACAGATGTGGTCCAATAAGGATATATAGCAAATTGTAATACCACTAACCCAATAGTTTTCAAAAAATATACCATATCCCGCATCATTTTGAAACGCTCAGAAATGATTGAACTATTAACTGAGCTGTTACGTGACCTATTAGCTGAGCTGTTAGCTAAACTGTTAACTGGGCATATTTCTTGAGATTCCAAGAGAATGTAGCTAATTGCCTCCAGATGGATTGCATAAAAACACAATAACATACTATATGTTACTATGTTATATCAATTAAACGTCGTAATTACCAAACATCTATTCCGTTAACAATGAAGAAATTGTTCGGTAATTACGACGTTTAACTGATATAACATAGTATAGTATGTTATGTTAGTATAGTATGATTATGTTTCGCCAAGACTTACAAATACTTCATTGGGTCATACTATCGTGATCGGAATGGCAAGAAAACCATTGGCAATACTCATCAAATCTGGGACTTAGTTATTAGTTTTAGGTTCTATAGTTACCATATGTTAAGTTATAAACTTTTCTTAAGAAACAAATTATCGTTAAGATTAGTTGTAAATTCAACAGATATTTTGTAGACCTTACATTGCTTACGAGATTTAAGGGTAAAGACGGAAGCAAATAAATGTGTTGAGTTTGTAAGTATATTAATCATGAAATAAATAACTAAGAAGTTAAAATGTTTATTTTTATTAATGAAATCTAAATATTGTAACTGGATTCAGTGCTATTCGATATCAGTATTGTTTACTAAAATAAATGTAATGTACTATGAGAAAAGTATATAATATAAATGATAAATGATATATATGTTTATATATATTTACACGTGTTTGTATATGTTTTATATGCTTATACATATATTACTCTAAAATAAACCATTTTGGATTATTCAAATTTTATCTCTCTATTGAAAATTCAAATCAATTCAATATCATGTTTCCACTTGTCTTATTTAGGTAGTCTCATGCAAAGAGATCACACATAAATGAGTTCATTATAAATAAATCAACTTATTTAAGGCGAAAAATGTCGAATGCCACCTTTAAAATAAATTTCCCACAAGGGTAGTTAACAAAATTTGAAATATTTGTCATATATTTTACATGTTAAATGTAAACAAATAAGCTATTTTACCTGCATAAATCAGCTTATGCCAATGGAAACGACTAAAACTTAATTTCATTAACATAAGTAGTTATTTTGTTTCAAACTTTTTGAGTTATTACTTTGAAAATATTTTAAAGACGGTTTCGTTTTTTCAGAATTTAAGTTTTATTTCGATCGTTGTCTTTAGTATTTTTCTATTCGTATTTCAGCAGTTCGCTTTTTAATAATATCCTAATAATATGCTAACATCCTAACTAAAACCTGCGAAATCTCACGTTTTAGTTCAATAACTAAAATATTTATTTAAATTGAATGCTCACTCACTCATTAAATCAACGAAAAATATATATATTCTTCTCATCAAGTTGCTCAAGAATATATAAAAAATTTGAAACCAGCGTCCTTCTCACATCCAGAGAAACATTACTTGCGAAATTCATTTTCATTAAATCATTGAAAAATAGATATATTCTTCTCATTAAGTTGATTAAGAATATATAAAAAATTCTAACCCAATGTCCTTTTCTGAGCTACTAATTCAAGTTAAATCGGCGCTTAGATTAATGGACACAAAGACAGCTTTACTTTGTTTAGCTCATCAAAAATATATAGACATTGTTAGGCCTACAATCTCCTCTTCAAAGCGTTACAAATATCTTGAATAGCTTAATATACCATACTTCTCAAGTGCTAAGCGTTTGAATTATATATGAAAAAAAATGCTTATTATTAACGAACTAGTTTTGCAATTCCTAAATAAAAAATTTTATTGTATACTAAATTGTTTAAATATATAATAATACATTAAGACTGAAAAGTTTTCGGAAATTCTCATTTAAAATTCGCGCGCTGTATATTTTTCGATATTTTAAGTTTATGTAGTTTGGCAGCACTGTCCTTAATTACTATGCCAAAAATGAGCTCGATCTGTCAGACAGTTCGTTTACGGCAGCTGTTGAAACCAGTTCACCTCAGTAGTGCGTTGCGAAATGTCTTCGACGGTCGTACGACCGTCCTGGAAGGCTTTGTACCACTCATAAACTTGAGTTTTCGATAAAACTGATTCCCCATAAGCCTTTTGTAGCATTCGCAACGATTCTGCACACGAAATTTCGTTCGAAACACAAAATTTGATGCAAACTCTTTGTTCAATATTTTTTTCCATTGTTTTTTTCGCAACGCCCTACTGAGGTGAACTGGTTTCAACAGCTGCCGTAAACGAACTGTCTGACAGATCGCGCTCATTTTTGGCATAGTAATTAAGGACAGTGCTGCCAAACTACATAAACTTAAAATATCGGAAAATATACAGCGCGCGAATTTTAAATGAGAATTTCCGAAAGCTTTTCGGTCTCTAATGTAAGTTTATTAATCCACCTTGACTATATCTAATGGAGCACAATGGCCTTTAAACACTTATAAAATTATTTCGATAATAAAATTAGTGTATATATAACCAATAATCCGATCCAATCAAAATATGCTAACGTAATTACCCTAATGGCAAATCCAATATCAGTAGTCAGAAGTGCTCTAATTGATTTGTTTCAGTTGCAAATTAATTATAATTTTGTCATTAAACAAGAGTATCTCTTGAGTACGTACTGCCGCACGTAATGCTCCGAGGCACACACAGCCATTTTTCAATGGCAGCAATCACACAATCGCCTATATATACGCATATCTACGAGAGAATTACAAAAATTAAGCAGTCAATGAAGTAGTTAATCTGTGGACAAAATTCGAATGAAAAAATTTTAATTTGAAATTAAAGTAAAAAAAATATAAAATGAATTCCGCAAAGATTTTCACAAAACAATAGCCTTGAACGACGTAAAATTTGAATGCAATTAAACAAAGTCATTAAGCACTAAAAATAAATAAACAAAATATGGCAGCACTAATTCAAGTCAAAAGTCAACAAGTTACCGAAAACCCAAAGGTTTGCTAAAAAATTTTGAAATTAACAAAAATTCACAAAAATTCACAAAATTGACAAAAATTCGCGAAAAAAGACAATCCGCAATGTACAATCCGCAATCCGCGAAATACGAATGCGACATGGTTTAGGTACATTTAAGCCATCAAATGGAGCGCAAATTACACCAAAAATGAAGTGAACAACAAAAACTCGTGGAAGAAAAGCCAAATTTGTACAGTCGAAAATGAAAAATATCTTCAACTGCACAAATTGCTCGACAAATTAAGTTTTTAGACGAGCCAAGACAAATCAAAAGCGAAACCAGAAAGCGGCTTCAGATACTTCGTTGCACGTATCTGAGGCAGTTGAAGGCATGATAAGTGAACCCAAGCGTGGCAATGCAACAGATACACCCGCCGTCAAAGTGCGCAAGAATTGGGCCAGCATTTTTGTTTTTTTTTTTTCATAATTGACTCTCGAGTGGCAAGAACGAACGCTCCAAAGTGGCCACAATGGAAGTGTTAATATTATTTAAT